GAAAAAACTTTAGTGACAGATGACTACATTTGATAGTAATGAGTGCTAGAACAGAGAGAAGCAGAGGTTGTATTTAGGCAGTTGATTAATTCAATAATTATTCAGTGGTTGCTTATTATAGGACAAGTACTATTCCAGGCCATGGGAAAACAATGAGGAAGATAAGATCTCTACACTCATGAAGGTTATCTTTAACTGGAGGGGGTGGGGCATACAGTTTATCCACAAATAAATAAATAAGCTAGATAATTTAAGAAGAATAAAGCAAAGAAAATAGTGAGAGTGACTTGGAGCGGCTTTAGGTTTGGTGGTTAGGGTGATATTTTTGAAGAGGAGACAATTGAGCTGACTGAGACCTGAAAGATAATCAAGAGCCAAGTATGCAGATGTCTGGGAGAAGAAGGTTTTTGGCAGAAGGAAAAGCAGATGCAAGGTCCTGTGGGTGGAACAATCTTAGTGTTTTTAAGGAACAGATCAAAGGCCCATGTGGCTGGAGTCTCAGAGAAGTGGGCAGAGGCCACATCATAGAAGGATCTGTAAACTTGAATAGGGAGTTTATTTTAGTGCAATGGTGGACTTTAAAAGGGATGTGGTGATGTAACCACAGAACCAGCTGAAAATAGTCTTATTCTGTTGAGTAAGATACTGAGTCGCTTTTTAGAGACAACAGACCAAAATGGTGAGTTATGCAGCTGAAGCATGTGCAAAATAGAGAACTTTGATCTCCAGCTGCACCGGGAACCAAAGTCCCATATCACGCAAACACAGAGAGAACCAAAGATTGAGACATAACTGGATCTTGAACACCAACACCTTTTCAGAAGCAAAGAGTCTATTGTCCAGGACCAGTGCTGATGCCTTTTACCATAAATGGCCAAGTTCCAAGGTCTTCCAATTAAAACTTGTCCCACCAGTACTTCTGTCTACCCCTAGTCAATCAAAACCCCTTAACCTAGCCCAGAGAGCAATATGGATTTGAGTCACCATTAGGTCTTCTATCTTCTCAATTGGCACCTTCTTGACCAATAAACCTTTCCTTACTCCAAACTTTGATGTTTTGAGTTTTGGTCTTTAGAAGTGTTGGGCACACAAAGTTGGGTTCAGTAACAGTGACATGATATGATTTGTGGCCACTGCCTGGAAAATAAAGTACAGAGTGCAAGATTGGATGCAGGAAAAATAGTGTGGAGGCCAATGCAGAAATCTAGATGAGAACATTCAAACTATGGTGGTAACAGTACATGTAAAGAGGTGGATGGATTTGGGGTACAGTTTGGAGGTAGGGTCAACAGTACCATTGGATCAGCTGAAGGGAAGAAGGGAAGAGAGAAACCAAGGGTGGCTCCTAGGTTGGCAATTGTATGTTGCTATTTACTGAGAAGGAAAAGGCTAAGGGAAATATATTAAGGGTTCTATTTTGCACACATTTTGTTTGAGATGCAAATTAGACATTCAAATGGAGAAATTAAGCAAGTGCTTGGATATATGAGCAGAGCTCAAGGAAAAGGTCAGGGTTGGAGATATTTGAAAGTTTTGTTGCATTTGAAAGATTAGATTCTAACATTTATTCCACCCTCCTTTCATGAACTTTCCAGTATTGTAGAGGCTGGAAGTTTAAAATGGTGCCCAATCAGTGTTCCTCAGTGGTTGAGTGTTGACTTATGAACCGGGAGGTCACAATTCAATTCCCAGTCAGGGCACATGCCTGGTTGTGGGCTTGATCCCAGTGGGAGGCGTGTAGGAGGCAGCCAATCAATGACTCTCTCTCTCATTACTGATGTTTCTATCTCTCCTTCTCCCTTCCTCTCTGAAATAAATAAAAATATATTTAAAAAATAAATAAAATGGTGCAGTCTCCTCTCTTTCATTTTAGACCACCCTAACAAGTCCAGGGAGTCAGACTTCAAATAACCAAGATAATAAGAATCACTCACATGCTTTATGCTTAGTTTTCATGAGTCTCTGATGGCAGTAGAGAAGCTTCAGCCTACTTAGAACCTTGATACAAGAGACCTTTCAATCCCCAAACCAAGACTTAAATCATCCAGGCTCCCAAAGGTTATGATCTCAACTTCAGAATCACTATTTAGTTTAAGTCTTAAGTATTTTTTCCCCTTGGATGTGAAGAGAAAGGTGAAAATACACATTTTAAATTACCAGGAAAGAAGGTAAGGAAATTCTGGAATTTGTAAAAAGAATATTACTCCCCCCCCCCACTTCCAAATGTTGCTATTTCCTCTGTATTATGTGATGATAATGATTTCATCTTTCCCCTCAATCCTTTCATAGCTGTGGATGGTCTTCTCCTCTGAAGTAGACAAAGGATATCTCTTGAGACATTTGGCTCCCACCATCATAAAGACATTTTCATATCTCCCCTGTTTCCTTTAGCAACTCTCATTCAACATAATATATTACTTGGCCTCTCTCAGGTCTTGGAAGTCTGTACTATTTTTTTTTAATTGTGGGAAAAATCCTCTCCCATAGTTTTAGTTCAACAAGATCTTGGAAAAGATTTTGGAAGTGTCATAGAACTAGAAAGAAGAAGAAACAAACATGTGAGCAGAAAAGGAATCAAAAGCATAGAAACTAGAAAAAGAGGAAGCCTGGGAGAGGGAGACAGAAACCAGGTTTCCTTAGGATTGTACATCTGGTTGAAAAATAAAGATGTTGGTCATTTAACTAGTATTGTTTCTACCATGCCAACCAATTTACTTTATTTATTTAAAAATATATTTTTATTGATTTCAAAGAGGAAGGGAGGGAAGGAGGGAGGGAGAGAGAGAGAGAGAGAGAGAGAGAGAGAGAGAGAGAGAGAGAAATATAAATGATGAGAGAGAATCATTGATCAGTTGCCTCCTGCATGACCCCCACTGGGGATCGAGCCTGCAACCTGGGCACGTGCTCCGATGGGGAATCAAAACATGACCTCCTGGTTCACAGGTTGACACTCAACCACTGAGCCACCACGGCTGGGCCCAACCAATTTACTTTAATTGAATATTTCTCTTGAATACAATTTGGTATGGCCTCCAGAGAAAAGGCAAAAAAAAAAGGAGGCTAAAAGAATATTATGGAATAGAAGTGAGATAAGAATTTAAAAATGGATGGACAGAGTAAGACTGGCTTTAAGGAGCAGAAAGAATGATCTTTTGCATAGCAATATGTTTCCTGTCTTCTGTGATCTATAAATATAAGGGGTTGTGACATGTTTGAGGGTAAACGCTGCAGTTCATCTGTTCTTTTAGTTCTAGGTTTTCTCATTGGCCTCAGAAATGTCAACAACTGCCATCTGGTCATGAAATATTTCAAAGTTCATCATCCTCCGTGTGGTACCAGATTCGTGATCTTGGATTTCCTCTGTAGATGTAGGGGACAAAATGTTTTGATTTTTATTTTAAGCTGTTGATTAAGAAACAAAAGACTCAGAGAAAAATATTGACCCTTCCTCCTTTGCTCCCCAAGAGATTCAGATAGAAAAACATGCTTCAGAAAGGAAGTCTGATGATGTTCATCTTAGTCTAATTTGAATTAAGTGTGGTATGTGGGGAGGCTTCAGGCAGGGCCTGTTCGCTAGATACCCCTGACCCATTGTTTCTGAGTTGTCTGGCAAGAATTTGCCTGCCACATGTGTCCCGCTCTTCCTCAACTATCTGTAAATCTCCCATTCTCATTTCTGAAACTGAATAGCTCATTCTCTCTCTTTTCTCCTTTGTCCAAACTGACATATATACTCAATGTTGCCTTGTGTCTTTGGAATTTTCATGCATATGTGAATTCCCCATGCCCATGTATTAAAATCTGACTTTCTCCTGTTAATCTGTCACTGCTAATTTGATTATTAGTCCAGCTAGAAGAACTTAGAAGGTGGGAGGAAAATTATTCATTTCTTAGTCCCCCCACTACCCCCAGACACATCATTTGAAGCCAACAGCAGACTTTTGGTCCCAATGAAGCTGTATTAAGAATTGGGCAAGCTTTTCTTTGCCCAAGAGCAGGTGAAAACTTAAGCTCAGGTATGACACAGTTGTCATTTTCATTTCTCCAAAGACCTGGTTGTCTGTGATACCGAGGCTGGTTGAATCCATGGGTTAAATAAAAAGCCACTTCAGTGCAAAAACTCTGCTTGTCCCAGGATATCTCTCCCACTGACCTAGTTTGTGTGATTTCTTTGGGTTACAATGTGAAATCCTCCCTTAAAAGAAGTCTGTTCAGTGTACTAGTCCCAGATACCTCCTCTGGCCCTTGGGGAATGAGGTGAAAACAGGTTCATTTCCATGTGTCCTTGAGAAGTGAGGGGAGAGGAACAAGAAGGGAGCTGGTCAGGGCATGGCAGAGCTTCTTTGAATCCCTGGGCACTGGTAATAGTCAGGCAGCAGTTTGGTGTTGTTGTTGCTTTTGTCTCTTTTGGTTGTCATGGTAACCCTCTGCTGTGGGTAAGGAGATCAAGATCTCCATTTTACAGGTGAGTAAACAAGGTCTGCAGAGAGAGTAGATGGTTGATCCAAGATTAAATTTAGGCCCCGCTCTAAGTCACTGTGCCACATGGCAGCATTCACTGAAAGTAAGAACTGAGTTCCATTCATTTTTTTTCTTCCTAGCACAAGATGAATAAACAAACCTCACACAAGAGCCTGGGAAGGTAGTTGGGGAGAGGAGCTCTCCAGAGCAGAATTTTCTGGGATGCTAGAATTTTCTGAAAGGGAAGAAAAGACATGAAAGCACTGGTAGAAAGCTCAGAGGATCCTCTCCACTCAGAAAATCTTACATTTTGTATGTGGTCATCACATCCAGTAGTTTAGAAAACGTCTCCGCTTGCCACCACTTTTTACTTCCTTAATCACGGTGTGGTGTCTTCTTCGTTTAGATTTTGGTAGCGCATTGATTAAAGCAGCAAACTTACTCTTATATTAGAAATCATTTTCCATTGGATTGCAATGAACTTGTAAATTGGAGGCCCAAGAGTTGAGAAAAAGACACATAAAATAGAAGACATTTCAAAACTACATATAACAGATTTATTTTATATTTTCGTCCAACTTGGTCATTGGACCCATTACATTTATCAACTTTCAGAGCTGAAGTGGCAGATGTCCATAAAAGATGTTATAATACAAGCATTTTTAGCAAAGATTTAAAAATACAGTGAAAATAGGACTCTGTTGGTTTATAAAAATAAAGAAGTATAATACATTCCTAATAGCAAGTTTTCAGTTTTCCAGATCTGTATGACTGATAGTGTTACCTGTGGAAATGTTATAAAATATATTGATATCAGATTTTATGACCAATGAATGAGGTTTTCATATTTTTAGCCATAAAATATATATTAAAATATTTTTCAATAAGTATAATACTTTTTGACATGCTCACTTAAATTATTATTAAAATATCAGCTTTGTAAAGTACCACACTTGCTGAAGAGTAAATATATGGATTTCTCTGTTTAGGGTAGCAAAAAAAGGATTTTAAGTTTTTGATAAAAAAATTAAATAAAATTTGTATATCATATTCAGAAATGTAAATTTATTTATTCAGCATTAGACAGAAAAATGGGAGCAGGGTGACCTGCAGACACAGGTAGGCTGGGACTGGGAGGTGGGCTCAGTCGGGTGCCTCTGTCCCTGTTGTCACTGCATTTGCCCAGCACTCACTTCTCCTCTTCACCACACCAAAAACCATGTCAGTGTTCACAATATAGGTTCTAAATACAAACACTGATGCTATCAAAATAAATGTCTTAAAAAACAATCACAGGCTTGAATGGAAACATAGAGTATTTGGGCTTCACGCCTCTTCCTGTGGGAGGAGCTTCCGCTTCATGGAGGGTTGAAGCTCATCAACAAAATTCTCCAACTCCTGCTCCTTGGAGAGCTCCAGGAAGACCTGAAAGGGGATAAAAAATAGAAAGATAGGGATGTCATACTATTTCCTGTAGCTCCAAGAGAGTGAAAAGAGTATGTACTTATTGTACAGTTCTATTCCATGGATGATGTAAGATCACTAAAACTGACCCACCTGCTCCAGGGTGGACTGTGACAAGCTGTACTCCTCCAGGTCGAAGCTCTGTTTAACTGCACAATGATGGATGTAAGTTAGTGGTTTATATGTTTTTATATCCAGATGGCCTTAGAAGTCAGCACAGAATACAAATAACAATTTTTTAAAAATATTAAATGAAAAGGTGAAGACAAGAAACGTTAGGATGGTTTAAGTACAGCATTCAGCTAAAAGAACAGCAATGCATTTGCATAGGGTTGGAGAAAAGGTGTTATGTCGCACAGTTTCTGAGATGTCTACTTAAGGGAGGAAATGGTGCCGAGAAGGCTTCCTTTCCTGCAGGTGAGCCAGGGTTTTTGCACATCCAGCACAGGAAGAGGTGGAAGGCAGACACATTTGGAAAAGGGTTGCATCAGAATATTATAGAGAAAGATGCCTGTGGTTTTCTAAGAAGCAGGTAATCCTCATGGACCTCTTTCCGTCCATGCAGTTTGCTTGACCCAAACCGAGTAGAAAACCCTCTCTTTGACCAAAATGGACTGGGCAGGGGAGTTAGAGCCCCAATAGGAGCCCAGCAGTCTGGGAATATGCCACCAACAGTATCAGATTGGAAATATACCACCAAAAATACCAGGCTGGTACTGGCCACAGTGCCAGTCTGTGGATGCTCAGAACGCTGGGGTGCTCAGCTCAGAGAATGGAAAGAAGAGGCATCACTGTGACCATGGATGCTATTAGCAGGAGGAAGAAGAGTCTTCTAGAACCAGGAGACTCGAATCTCTTCCTCAGGGAAGGTGACAAGCAAGCGTAGATATCACTGGACAGTGACAATGAAAGGATACAGATGGAGAGGGAGGTCCAGCTAGCACAGAGCAGAGTCACAGAGTTAATGGGCTCAGATGGCGTGGAGCACATGAGCCTGGTGATGACAGATGCAGTGTAGTTAGTTTTATAGCACAACAGACACAAGAAGATCATCTTAGTGACCAGACAAGAGGTAAGTTTCCTAATATGGAATCCAAGGCAAAAAAATAATATGCAAGTCCACATAAAATTTAGTTTTAAACATGTAAGCACCAATATTCCTAAAGACAATATTCTTCTCTTTTTTTTTGGACAGTATTATTCTTAAATGCATGTATGATTGAGTTTTGACCCAACTTATACCAATATAGATACACAAAAAGATATGGAAAAAGCCCAGAAGAGTAAAAATCACTCCCATTTCCCCACCACCACAAAGGCACACAGAATGCCTGTGCTTCCTTGATATTGTGCTCTAACATTCAATTTGAATTTAACACATTATATCACATTTCATGTTTGTTATGGAAATGGATTATTTTGTGATTTGAAATTATCTGCTTTCAGGCTCTTATTTAAAAGCCTATCACTCTTACCCCTCTCTAATTTGAAGAAAGCTTGGGCTAAAGGTCGCACATCTTCCATCGGCAACTTGTAGACCATGAGAGACGAGTACCTGGGAGGCAAGGAGAGGAGAGACACACTGATCCAACCGCAATGAACGTGAACTGACTCAGACTTCTCTCTGGACTTTATTTCTGTAAGTGTGGTTTGGGGTAGGCAAAATGCAGAGGGTGAAGCCATACTAATAAGAAAGAGGCAGTTCACAAGGAAAACTGGGGATCGGAATCCTATAGGTAGGTTAGTGCCCTTGGCCCCTCAGATGGGGATGAGTAGGTACAATGCAAATCACATTTCCAGACTTCCCAAAGTCACCTTCCACCTCACTTTTTTTTGTTAATCCTCAATAGAGGATATTTTTTCCATTGATTTTTAGAGAGAGTGGATGGGAAGGGGAGAGACACACAGAGTGAAACACTGATGTGAGAGAGACGCATCGATTGGTTGCCTCCCCCAGGTTCGGGGATCGAGCCTGCAACCTGCAACTGAACTATGTGCTCTTGACTAGAATCCAACTGGGCTGATGCTCTATCCACTGAGTCAAACTGGCTAGGGCCCACCTCACTTTCTAGGCTCAACACTTACTCCTCGGCTTCATCCTCCAACCAGGCCATGACACCATGCAGTTTCTACAAGTTTCCAACTCAGGTGGAAATCTAAGTCTATTCTCCAGAGCATTTCTAGCTACCCTACCTTCCCCTTCCTACTCAAACTGCTTTCCTAACACAGGAGAGCATAACTGAGTCTCTGATTAGGAAACTAGAAATCTCTAGGAATTCAAGCTCCAAATAATGTCCAGAAACCATTTTAAAAATAATTTGTTTCTCAAATAAATTTGTCTTTCCATCATTTGAAAACCAGGAAGATTCAGATTTCTTTTCTTAAAGATGCTATTTCACATATTTATGGAGCAACCTTTCTCATTCATTTTGCTCATTCCCTGCACCCCTATGACATATTTCTATTTAGTCGTGGGCTGCATGATGCGTTATAACACTGACTTTATATTTATACTCCACTATAGAAATATATTTTCTGGCCTCGTCTTTATGACTTATTTCTCTCTACTACTTTCCCTCAACTCATAAATTATCTGTCTTCTGCATTTAAATTGCAGTTGTTAAAAAAATGACCCTAATGTTAATGTTTGTATTTTTTTTGTATATTACTTTTATGAGGGTTGTTCCATGACCAGACTCTGGAAATATTAATAGATTTAAAATGAAACTGGAAATATTAATAGATTTGAAATGAAACAGTTTTACATCCCTGTTTTGCCACTTATTAGCTGTCATGTGACCTAACCAATCTACCAATTTTCATGGATTAAGGTCCTTGTAAAGGTCAGACTCTTACAACGAGTTTTTGCAATCATCTCCTTTTTCACTGGAACACCATAGTCTACTTTAGAAAGTCTCCGGGAGGATTAAGTAAGATAACCCAAGAACAGGACAATACCTGGCACATAGTAGGACCATAATACACATCACCTCTTCTCTAGTTGACTTTCTGCAGTGTCCAATAAATCATTTATTTCTTTTAGGGTTTCCTTTTGGGCTAAATGTGAACTTGAATGACCACAGCTCTATGAACCTGACACGGAAAAACTGACATCTGATAGCAGATGAAAGCCAGCCACCATCCTTACCTTTCCTGCCGAGCAGCCTGGGGGAAAAGCCTCAGGATTTCGCTGTGCAGGGGCTCCACGTGGGCGAGGGTCTTCACCTTCATCTCCAGCAGGTAATCCTTGCCAAATTTGCTCTTCAGGTGCTGGATGGAACCGATACATCTGGAGGGAAGAGGAGGAGGGAGAAGAGGAAGATGCAATGTTTAAGACTTGGGATTTGCTGCTAGCGCTGTCTCAGGACTTGGCCATCAGACCCTGGTCAGGTGGTCCCAGTTTTTCACAGTGACCTCTCTGCCCACCGACAAACTCTACCAGCCATGCAGCTGGTGGTCAAGTGCGGGCTTGGGCGGACACCCACCTCAGCCTCCCGGACACCATGATGGCCACACGGTCACACACGGCCTCTGCCTCGGCCATGTAATGAGTGGTCAGGAGGGCGCCCCTCTCGGTGTTGTTAAAGCTGGCCCTGACCGCCTGCCTGAATGGAAAGAAAAGATATGCATGGGAAGCATGCACAATGACATCCAGAACCCCGCCCTCTCCCCCACCTGTGAATCCTAACGAGAATTACCATTCTCACGAGAAGTGTGGGACAAGGGGTGATTGTGTTTTATTGTGTCACACAGATACACCATAGCTACTTAAAAGAATAATTGAGCAATTACAATACTCAGAGGGCTGGAAATATTAATAGATTTGAAATGAAACAGTTTTACATCCCTGTTTTGCCACTTATTAGCTGTCATGTGACCTAACCAATCTACCAATTTTCATGGATTAAGGTCCTTGTAAAGGTCAGACTCTTACAACGAGTTTTTGCAATCATCTCCTTTTTCACTGGAACACCATAGTCTACTTTAGAAAGTCTCCGGGAGGATTAAGTAAGATAACCCAAGAACAGGACAATACCTGGCACATAGTAGGACCATAACATGCAACATCACCTCTTCTCTAGTTGACTTTCTGCAGTGTCCAATAAATCATTTATTTCTTTTAGGGTTTCCTTTTGGGCTAAATGTGAACTTGAATGACCACAGCTCTATGAACCTGACACGGAAAAACTGACATCTGATAGCAGATGAAAGCCAGCCACCATCCTTACCTTTCCTGCCGAGCAGCCTGGGGGAAAAGCCTCAGGATTTCGCTGTGCAGGGGCTCCACGTGGGCGAGGGTCTTCACCTTCATTGCCAGCAGGTAATTCTTGCCAAATCTGCTCTTCAGGTGCTGGATGGAACCGATACATCTGGAGGGAAGAGGAGGAAGAGGAGGAAGTCAATCAAGAAAAGGGAGAGAGAAATCTACTGCTGGTGATTTTTGGCTTCTGGAGGCCAGGACAGGGCCAGGGAGAGCCGGAGCAGCCAGCCCTCCTGCTCCTCACAGTGATGCCCTGTGCAGGGAAATGTCCTTTGTGCAGGGTGTGACTGGGGACCTCGTGTGGGCACTCACCTCAGCCTCCCGGACACCATGATGGCCACACGGTCACACACGGCCTCTGCCTCGGCCATGTAATGGGTGGTCAGGAGGGCGCCCCTCTCGGTGTTGTTAAAGCTGGCCCTGACCGCCTGCCTGAATGGAAAGAAAAGATATGCATGGGAAGCATACACAATGACATCCAGAACCCCGCCCTCTCCCCCACCTGTGAATCCTAACAAGAATTACCATTCTCATGAGAAGTGTGGGACAAGGGGTGATTGTGTTTTATTGTGTCACACAGATACACCATAGCTACTTAAAAGATCAATTGAGCAATTACAATACTCAGAGTGAGTATGTTTGGGCCCTGACCATGATTATTTTTCCTTTAATGAGAAATAGTAAGATGTTTTTGCGAAGTGTTGGCTATACGAATGATAGTCAGGGTTGTTTTTATTTTGTATTAAGAGACAGTGTACGGGAGGGGTGGCCGCCTTGCTTTCTGTAGATGCGTGGAGTTGGTGGCCGCGGCCTCTGGGCTGGGATGAACTAAGCTCTCAGGGAGGCGGGGGAAACCGGGGAGCTGAGCTGGAGTTACAGATGCTACAGGGGTGGCAGTTGGACCATTGCTGCTGCAGGATTTGCAGTCTGTTGTGTTTTGTTTTTTTAAATATGTATTTCTTGATTTCAGAGAGGAAGGGAGAG